GCTCGCTCGCTCAGTTGCCGCTCGTCGGTTGGTTTGTACGGCGCGTCGACGTCCAAGGTCGCGGTGAAATGAATTCCAACGAATCCACAAACACAATGATCGACGTCCCTTCGACCAGCGCCGCCCTTTCGCATACGTGTGTACGTGTTCACTCATTTAACACCCCCTCCTACAACCACGTTAACCAATTTAGCCATCGACCCAAGTAAGTCGCAATTTAACACCCCATTTCACAACCACGTTAACCAATTTAGCCATCGACCCAAGTAAGTCGCACTTTAACACCCCGTTAACCAATTATATGGTCCGCATCCTCCTCAGTGTTCCCCCGAGGGAAGCTGCGGGCAATTTTTTTGTTTAATGTGCCATTAACACGATTGACAATTACATGCTATATAAGTTTTCCCGTACTTGAGGTAAGAGAGATTAGTCTAAAATAATTAAGGTCTAACGACTTATTATGGTTGGGTATGAAAGTCACCTTAGCTGATTTAAAATCCTGGGGCAGGGTGCCCTTCTCCCATTGTTGATTTTTATAATCGGTAAAAGCAGCCACTTACTTAGAGTCTAACTTTCGTAGTGTCTTGCTAGTAATTCCATCGAGTCCTGAAGCGGATGAGGTGCGAAGTTTGCTTAGTGCAGGCCAAACTTCCGCCTCTGCAATCGGTGCATCGAAGTCTAGATTGGGAGCTCCATTGTAGGTAGGTAATGATTCTCGCCTTGGGCTAGGGATATAGGAAGTTTTAGGAGCAGTTTTAACGTCTTGCCGTTGTTTTTCTACTTCAACCAAGACTTTCGTAATTTGCTTATTACTTTCAGATCGCGAGGAGCATGGGTCTAACATATGGTGAAGCAGGGACCAAGAGTTCTTCATATGTTGAGTGCCGTCGAGTCGGTTACATATCTGGTTCCATTGCTGCGATGAAAGTTCGGACGCGTGTCCAGTTACAAACTAGAGTGTTTGTGCCATTTTGCGTTTTAGTTTGCGTTTATATTTTTGCTTGAGCCATCGTTTCTCCAAGCTCTGATTGGCCTCCCATAGGTGGAGTAGCCTGCTGTCTACTGGATTGCGAATATGTGCTGCTGGGGCTACTTTTTCGCTAAGAGCTACATCCCGTTTAAGCTGAGACGCCCAGTCTTTGTTGTCTTGAATTTCTTTTTTCGGGTTTCAGTCTCGGATTTCGCGAAATTCGTTCCAGTCAACAATAGGTTTTTAATGAAACTGTGGACGAAAATTGGCATGAGACAGTGTCATTGTTAGGATGTAATGGTCACTGCCGAGGTTGACTCCACTGTGTGTCCAGTTAGCTTATCGCACGTTTTAAGTGAAAGTAAGGTCTGGGTTGGTATCTCTGCTCACACTGTTGCCAAGTCGTGTTGGTAGCATGCAGTCAGTGACTACAGTGTACCTGTTTCGCTGATTGTATTGAAAAAGGCTGGCGCCCTTTCGAGTGTTTCTCCCGTACCCCCAATCTACGTGCGGGGCAATAAAGTCACCTGTTACATATATAAGAACAGAATTTGCTATTTGGATGGCTCTATCAATTGCTTCAAAAACAGCAGTGAGGCCATTTCTAGGATGAGAATAAATATTCAAAATAAAATATATGCCTTCTTCTGTATGATGTGGGAGAAGTTCAAGAAGAAGGCAGTCACTGTAAAGATCGAATAGATCGTGCGCTATAAACGAGATATTCCTGTGTATATATGTGTAGCCCATGGGGAGCTACGGTGCGAATGTACTGCCTGATAACCAAGGAGTTTGCAAGCTTTTTAAATGCTCCTGTACAGAGATGGCATCAGAGCCCGCGTAGACCGCTCTATATTATGTGAGAGATTGTCTCTCTTGTTTCCTAATCCACAGCAATTCCATTGACATATGCAGAGTGAAGAGGGTGAGGATGAGGCAAAGGTGCAGGAGGGGGTTATGGCGGCGAAGGTGCTGGAATGGGGTGAGATTGTGGGAGAGACTCGAGCCGAGCAACTAATAACCTCTAGAATACTCTCTATCTTAGTGAAGTGCTCAGCGATTTCCGTAAAGCCTAAATCAACCTTTTGTTTCAGTTCCCGGTGTTCTTTAAGAATTTTTAGACTGATGCATTTAAAATCATCTTCGATGACTCGGGCTGCTCTGTCTTTTTCTTTTCTGCTGGCTGTGGGGAGGAATTTATAATATCGGTCCCTGACTCAGCTGCCATATCAGGCTTTATGATAGCGGCAGAAATGGATAGGGGTGGAGAAGACACAGGTGGGGCAGCTGTAAGCTGTAAGCACCAGAGCCAATTGTTGCTTTAGCTCTTGATTCTCTCGCATTAGACGTTACATAGTCTCCTGAGTTTTAGAATTTTCCTTGGCGTCAGAGAGCATAAGACAGAAGCAGGAGGCTTGCTTTGCCCAGCTCACCTTATTGGGCTTGGTGCCAAAGTCATGGCTTTGTGATGCACTTCGTCCAGTACTCTTGCTTCTGCTGCTGCGGTTTCATCCAGGACTCTTGCTTCCGCTACAATGAATTCTATCGTCAATGATTTGAAAAAACTCCGTCTCGAGCTGGAACTCGGGCTGCTCCTGCTGGTGCTCTTGTTGCGGCCTCTGTCGTGACCGAGAGAGACGTCTGGAGCCACGCTGAAATCGTTGCTTGCATGCCGTGTTGCCCATCTTGTGAGCGTCCCCATAGACGACGCAGGAGTGCAGGGATAGTCCTCCGGGTGTTTATGTCCGCAGCTTGAGCAAGTGAGGCGATTTGGCAACGGACATACATCTCGTCGGTGGCCAACTTTTCTGAAGTTTAGGCACGCTTCCATCTTCGATCGAAAGTTGTAAACGGCGTAGAGGATGCCGAACATTTTACAGACGGAGGAGCTCCTCAGCCATGAAGTGAATGAGCACTGAGCGTGACGTACGCCCCATGTCCCTTGCTTGGGCTATTGGTAGAAGGGAATTTGCCCAACATAATTCTTGAAGCAAGTGCTGAGGTGATTCACCATTGCAAGCGCGGTAGATGATGCCCCGTCCGGCGGAGCTATGTACGCATGAAATCCCAGTTTCTTAGCACGTAGCGTGAGTTCTCGTATTTTTGCACAGTAGGCAACTCGGTCGGCGCAAGATTTAGACACGGTGAAAATATTCTTGGCCAGATTTGTGCACACAAGGTCTTCTTCGGCCACCACACAGTGGTGTCCTCTGTTGGCGACTACAGCTGCTCGTAACTCTCCATCGTTGTGCTGGGCCAGATGTACGTCAGCACTCGGACGAAAGACGATGTTGAAGTCATCGACTGGAAACCGTGGCAGTCGTTTTAAGCGAGGACGTGCCACAGCTGTGTCGTCGAGCTTTCAGGAAATGATGGGTGCTAATTCCGTTTTGCGTGCTGGCGTTACGTCGGCTGCCGCCGCTTTACTTGACTGCGTCCCTTCAGTTTCTTTTGACTAATGCCGAGGTGAGCGTTGTCGGGCATTCGGGACTACACTTCATTCTTCTGGGTTGAATTCTGTGGCAGGTAGATCCATGCCATTCACTTTGTATGCCATTGCGTTGCCGAATGAACTTGCGCACGCGTGTGGAAGCACGAGCCCGACGCCGGTGCCGGTGGCGTTCTAGCTAACGAGGTGGCGTTCCCCCGCTCAGCAAGAGTTGAAGTTTGCAAAGCTCCTCAAGAACGAAAAGCTTTGAAGCACTCACCAGCAGCGTTGGCAACTTGCAAAAGTGAAAGAGAGACCACTGTTGGAACCAAAAAAGCAGTCTTGGTTTAAGAAAAACTTCGTAGAATACTGAGCCCATGCGAGGCACAGCAGCCTTGCGAAGCACAACAGCGGAAGTCCATCTTGCTAAAACCAAGAAGGTTACGCCTAGCGGGTTTAACGCGGCAACCTTTTCTGGCCAGATAGTGCTCAAAGTGCGTCCTTCTCACACTAGGTTTTTTTTAGGTAAACATCGAATTGAAGGCAAACGGTATTGAAGATTAGGTCACCAATACTTGTCTTTTTAGTTTTACAACTATCTTTTATTTATGAATAATGTGCGCGGGATTCCTCCTCAATTGAAAAGGGTGTGCACGTGCCGTTCCTCAACTACTACTACTACTAGTACTGCTACTACTACTACTACTACTACTACCAATACTGCACATACTTCCCGGATGCACGACCCATGGCGTAGGGAGCTTCGCCCACAAAATTACAGATGCCATAGAGGCACCATATAAATACGGCGAAGTGCTGTAGTCTACAACTAGTGCATACAACACACCCTACGACTAACCATCACTTAGAACGTACAATACCGCTACACGAAAAATGACAGATGCCATAGCAACACCCTCCGAATACGACGGAATGTTGTAACGTGCAACCTTACAATTACTCATCAGTCAGGTAACAAAAAAATTGTCACAAAATCTTTTTACCCCCCCCCCCTCTAAAAAAAGCTATGAGTGCATTGGTAGCCAAAAGTGCAAAGGCTTGTCTTTTATAAGTGGTGCGGAAAAGAAAGCAGCACTGGGATGATATCAGTTCGAACGTGACTGCAAAACGGTCACTGCAAAGTCTGATTTCTGGAGACGGCTTCTAGTTGTCCTTCTCTGAGTTACTGATCCACTTCTTGTATATTTAAGGCCTCGAGGTTGGGAAACAGCTTATAAGAAAAACCAAACCGCTTCAACACACCTCGTAAAAATGCGAACAACTACCACAATTTTCACTCAGAATGGGCTAAAAGAAAATCTAATTTTATAGTACTGGGCGTGGAATGTCTTTGCGATGACATTTTCGGTAAATGCATACAGTTTACAGCGCTAGCTGGCATTTAATTAAAAAGAAGTGAAACGATCTAGCGCTGGCAGCTGGTGACTGTCCATGGCGGTGACTTCTGGCAAAGAAATCGTGGCTTCCGGTGGCTTCAACCACGCGCGCTGGATGTGTCATCCAGTAGAGATGAGTGGTAGGCTTTCGCGGTAATACAATTCGGAATTTACAAAGGGTCCTTAAAGGTTTAAAGTATCTTACCAGATAAGGAAGCGATTTCTGCGGTACATATTTTGAGGCTGGACGACTGACCTAGAAAAAAAAAGAGAAATTAGTCAGCTCCACTGGAATTCACAAAAAGCGTTAAACAAGAATCTATTCATTCAATTCACACACGCTTTTCAGGTATATTTGATATTGCTGGCCTGTGTAGCCGGTTATGGCGGTGTTTTGAATATCTCTCCTGACTGACAACTTCAGCGCACTAAATAAATACTAAATAAAACATCATGCACATCTTTCCAAGACTGGTGTTTGAATATAGTTTGCCCATTTAGACGGTGATTGCCTCAAACTCTTAATCACAGATCCTTGTTCATCCAGTGCGTCCTGAAATGAATAATAGTTTACGAGCGAAGGTCCTTTGAGCGTAGTCTTGTCCTAGTCTTTCACGCTACACAAAGCGGAAACTAAAGCTGTGTGCCAGCTGTGTATATCAATGAAGTATATGACAACACAAAACATGACCATCTGCGCTTTCCATCTGTACGTCCCATAGTGCGTCTGTATACCCGTCCGTAAATCTGTCCATGCAACCGTTTTTCTGCCCGTCTGTGCGTCCGTACTTCCGTGTGTCCGTTCATGAATATGTGCCACCATCCGTGCATCTGCACCACTGTCCGTTCGTCCGTCCTTGCACATATGCGTCCTTTATACCAGTCTGGGTCTTCAACGTAGGCATTGCGGAGCTTCGGACGAAGCTTCGCCCGCTGATCACCAATCACTTCGTCGAGATGCGTTTTTTTTTTGCGTGGTACCGAAGCCGCAAACCACATCCGTAACTGCCGGGAGCATGCAGTACATGCTCAATGAAAACTGGAAAAGTGGTCTTTTTAGACATTATTAAAGACTGTGAGAGAGACTATTAAAAGTATATTTGCATGGTATCCACTACAGCAGAAATACGTGTGAAGTGCATAATCACGCACATTGTCATTAGCAATCACACACAGAAATGCGGTACTCGCTGCACATCCATAAGGCGCTACGTACCCTTTGTTGATGCTTCATCGTGCTCTGGATGGCGGAGCCTTGCTGGGCAGACTTTGTAGACAAGTCGCCTTCACAGATGATGGTACCTAATATGAGCAAAAGACCACAAATACTCCCCGCTCATTGCGCCAATCACCTAGACTCCACCAAATCACAACCCTACTGACGTCCCTCTGCCGCTCGGTAGGACAGGCTGCTGACTTCAAGTTCTACAAGCGGCTTTGAACAAGGCTTCTGGGTTTCACGGACGAATCGGTAGCGTACAATGAATTTGCCGCTGCAGCCTGTCAATCACGGCTAGTGGAGTGAGCTGACTATGCCGTCCTTCCATCAATGCGAGCTTCTCCGCGGTAAAGCTGTTCATCTAGCTGCTCACGCCGTTGATGAGGAATCTGCTGAGCGACTGGGCTTTTTGGCTCAATGCCAGCGCTCCGACAATCTGGTCTCACCTGTTCTTTTTGGTTTCCTTGGTCTTCTGTTAAGCAGCACCTTGCGCAAGTATTTGCGGTAGATTCACTGGCCTCCTACAAACAAAAGAGAACTACAGGTAAAATGTCTTTTGCAAAGGTTAAGTTGATATATCAACGCGCTTCCGTCTAATCTCACTTGAAAGTGATGACATGCAGTTCTTACCTTTGTTGATCACCTTGCCAAGACACGTAGAACTGAAGCATGTCTGCTGCCTTACGGCTAGCTGACTCCTGATCCCCTTTGTCAAAAAAACTTGAGAGTAATCGGCCGCATTCAGTGCTCCAACACAAAGATCGAAGCCATCTTCTTTTTTGAGCAGGCTTTCCGCTTCTTCCTGGGAACTCAAACAATGTTGTTCAACAAGTCTCCCTCTCATATACACTTTGTAGCTGGCATCATGAGGCTTGCTGCAGAAAAACAGGACAACTTTTTCCGACACCAAAGTCGCTTCTTCGCATAACGCCGATGTGCAATAAAGTACTCCATCCAGGTTAGCAAAACAATGCTTAGTCCAGCACTCAGAAGGTGTTTGCAGGTAAAATAAAAAGTTCAAATCGTTCCGTGCCTCATCTGAGCTGGCTGCACTTGGCGCTTCTTCGCTAGCGATAAATTTATCAGCTTGTAGCAGCGACTGGTCGTCCGGGTCAATTTCAGTGGACGGCGCGTGTGCCGCAGTCCGATGTTTGGTACTGCTGGTCGGTCGGTCACCTTGTTGCTTTCTTTTAGTCCTGTGTTAGGGAGTCCTTTTGCTGAAGTACGCGGGGAGATTCGGAAGGATCGTCGGTACAGAGTCTTCTGACAGCGTTGGTCTTCCACGAGGTATGCGTACCTCTTTGCCGTCTATATTATGAACGTAGTCCCTGATTACAAAATGTGGCTCGAAATGCAATTCGCACACTGTGCACGGTTCATAAAGCTCCTTATCCTCGCGGTACAGGTTCCTTTCCCACTGTCTTTTGTTTTCTTCGTCTTGAGGAACGTTGAAAAGGGACGCCTTCGGCGCGCCTTTCACACGGCTGTAACCATTCGGGCATCCCGATGCGAAACAGTGATTGTGCCGCTCGGTAGGCATACTTGCTTAGCATGCCTTAGCATGGGCACGTCAGCAGAAAACGAAGTCCATGGTTGTCCTTGACGCAAACCACTGAATTTCTCAACTATACGAAAAATCAATCGGCTTGCAGCCTCGGTGAGCACATGTGCAGCAAGAGAGCGGCAGCGGCAGACGGATAGGAGCGCGAAAAAGTTCAAGAGGAAACTGCTGCAGCACCTAGCAGCTCCCAGTACCGGCGACACGAGCTGCATTGGAGCGCCACCTGCGTAGCTTAGGGCAGAGAGCACACTACCCCCTTCTAGTACCCCACATAGTGCATAACAGATCCTACTCGGCGCTGGGTTGTGTAGGAAGGAAGCAACAAAAGGGAGCAGGGTGAGAGGCTAACCAGAAAGACATCCTATTGGCTGCGTTGTGTAGTAAGAAGAAAGTCCCCGCTGTATTCGCGCATCTCTCCAATATCGGACGCCACAGAGTGCTCGAACAAGAGGAGTTTCTCCTTATTTTCTATCGGGTGCTTATTTGTCCCCGCTCAGACAGACAGTGTTCAGTGCGCATCAAGCGAAGGACGTGGGCTTTTATTTCCTACATCACCCGCAGAAAATTTCTAATGAATCAATGTGGGTACAGTTCATGCCTACCACTAAAAATGAAGACATATAGGTTCGTATTTGTCTTCAAAATGTGTTCTGACCTCTCTGTAGCGTGCTAAGCAGCTTCGAGAGTAGTTCATTATTATAGAGTAGAACCGATGACATTTGGCAAGCATTGTCAAGCTATGCTCATTTGTAACAATCGCGAACTATTGATATGAAGCAGCGTTATATAAAATACGCGCCAAGAAAACGTTTCAACCAGCGTAGTGGAATTTATTTACAGACCCCTTCAGGGAGTTTTTCGGAAACGGAACACTCAATTTCCAGTGAATTACCAAATTCTAGCGCACGCTGCCAAAGGTTAAGTCGAAACATTATTGATTCGAAGTCTTGTTAGGTATTATGTAAATAGGGCAAAGATCCTTTTGATAATCGCATGTCGCAGCTTCCACTGATCATGCAAGTGCAACGCAAGAGAAACCAAGCTGCGGTTTCTAATTATAAGGGTTCATAGAGGAAAACTGTATTTCAATTTATAAGAAAGCAGCATCTCTATAAGTGGAACAGAATCCATGAAGTTGGATAGGCAGCTGTAAAGACCAGTTATAATATTGAGATGCTTCTGCGTATCAAAATATGTGAATACTTCTTGCTAAGTAATTAATAGGTTCAGGATCCGTTAATGATTAGTTAACTTGTAGTGTGAATAAGATGCAACTCAAGGTAGGCTTATAGCTGGTATTTCAACAGTACTTTTATGGTAACTAACATCTACAATATGTGTCGAGAGTATTACGCAAGTAACGCACCTTCTTATGAGCTGACAAATGCTGAGGTGTTACCATAGCAACTACAAGGAATATCCAAATGTTGTAGGGCTCCATAAGTGTTTCACAATAAATTAGGCTCAGTGGAGTACTAGAGTTTGAACTTCCTGGGAGTACAAAAAAGGTGAAAGCCAGTCTTTATATATCCACTGCACGGTAACCTTTTAGAGACGCAGCAAAAGTTCAATGAATAAATATAATAAAGCAAAAGAAGGATCATAAGTATCGGTAGTTGGAGTGTTATTGAAAATAAAATTTCAGCCGATCTGACCAGTGAAATATGTGGTCAGTTTAATCCTTTTTTTGTTGTTGATAAAGATTACTAACCAGGAGCACTTTCTTTGAAATGAGCTTGTGGTTTGGATAAAGCCGTAAAACACAAAAAAGTTGCAGACCTTGAAAATCTCAGTGCTTGTTATAAGTAAAAATTCTAGCTAGAATATCGATACAATTAAGCACGAAAATTCGCGCTTATGAAGTTCTTGTTTGCTTCATAGAAAGCTCGTTCGGACTTGTTTATGAGACATGGAGTGCCACATACATTTATTCCTACGGGCGGCCCCCTACCAAGCAATCTGGTGTTTGTCACTTTCACCATCTGTCTAGCATAGCTGCAGTCCATTTTAGCTTGTTCTTCTGGGAGAAAAAATTTTTGCTTAACACTGAATAGTGGCTTGTCGTCCAGCCTATGCTCTAGAAAAAATTGAAGTAACAAAGTCGGTAGATAAAAAACGTCTTTAGAAAAGTGCAACAACAACTCTACTTTTGCGATAACAGCTTCCAGATTATACACTATGAACTATGTGTTTTTCGTCACTGTGACAGAAACACCACTATGGGGTAATCCAGTCCAGTCTTTCCACGAAACGTCGTCACCTTTGTTTTAAGACCAACTTTGTCGAAGGACAAGCTTGGCCCTTTTGATGAGCACGCAAACTTTCACATCAAAGCAGAAAGCTTACCGACTTCTTCCTTATCAATTTATTGAGGCTGTTAATTTTAACGCGCAATCAAAACAAGGAACGGACCAGAAGCATTATGTGCAGTATTTAACGGTAATCTAGTTAATATAGCGTAAATGGGGAGGAATGCAAGGGGAGGGAAAACGTGGCTGATTCTTCCAGCACTGCAATAGATGTGACATGAAAGTCAAACGTGTCTGGGCAGAAGTAGTTGATAGTTTATTGCACACTCATACATGATTGATTGATATGTGGCGTTTGACGTCCTGAAACCACCTCATAGTTTTGAACTTAGAGAGACGCCGTAGAGGGAGGGCTTCAGAAATTACGACCACCTGGACTTCCTTAACATGCACACAAATCTGAGCACACGCGCCTACACCATTTTCGCCTCCAACGAAAATACACCCGCCGCAGCCGGGATTCCGTCGCGCGTCCTGCAAATCAGTAGCCGAGTATCCTAGCCACTAGACCACCACGGTAGAATGCATTCATACATGGGAGCTTGTACAAAGCGCATAAATATTTGAAAGCCACAGCTACAATTGATGTGAGTGCAACCAAGTTTACGCTTATGGGCACTTCTCCATCACAGCGAAAACGAGCATGATCATGATTTAGCCGTAGGAGTAACTGAAGTTTTTTATATGAACGCAGCTTACGGTGAATCTTCCTCGAAGATGACATTAACCAACACGTAAAAAATCCTAGCACTCAATTCGCACATCCTCAAAGCGTGGTTCAATCAGGAGAGAGATGGCAAGGTGTGCGCGCTGCAGTGATAAAGTAAGCTACGTCTTTGCTCATACATACGCCACAGCACGGCGCTTCAAGAACGCGGGGACAGAGGTTTCTAGCTTCAGGCATGAGCACGCTTACTTTATCCCGTTTCTTGCTGACCCAAGATGTGATATTCGCTTTTCGATGACGTCTTTTTGTGGCGCTTATTCCAGCAGTTCTAACGCGATAGCTTTAAAGAGCTCGTTTTGCAGAGATTCTCGCATCAGCGTTGGTGTCGGGGTCGGCGCCGTTAGTTTTGAGCGAAAATATGTCACCTTTGCGTGACCAAAGAATAAAAAAAGATGCGAGTGAAATGAATGAGAAATTCTGCATCTTAGTGGGCATCAAAGCCGGGTAGTTTGCATGGCAAGCGGGTGTTCTGTCACACAGTCACGCCTCTGTTTGTTAATACATTAAAAAAATTTATCTGGTTGAAAAGTAGTGAAAGTAATTTTTTGCATTAACACACCCGTGCTTTTTGCATGTGTCACAATACAACACGATATATTGCTTCAATAATGTGTGGTAGAAGCGTACCATTTCATTAGGAGTCAGGACAAGGAATTATCATAATTACTTCAATGTTTAGAGCCAGTCACCCACTACAAAGGGTACACAGGTTACTGCACTCTTAAAGTGAGGTAATGGGTGCGAAGAAACTTCGAAAAGATTTCATACACATTTCGTACACTAACTACACTAAGATTTGAAGTGCGTGCTAAGAACGAAATATCGCTATCGAGTTCAACTTTTAAAGATGGAGCTTAAGAGTCCCCAATTTTTAAAACAAATGACATGGCGCTCAGCTGAGGTGATGTGCATATGAAAACTGTTGTGCTCTAATATCGAGCTGTGCCATGCTAGAATGACGCGAACGGCAAAACGTGTGAGTGCGTTTGGGGCGCCCCTTGATACCAGAGTGGTAAACGTTGCTTCACTCATATCAAAGCGCTTCGACTACCTCGTCATTATTGGGCTGCTTATCGGCCCTCTTGAGTGTCTTGATTAGTACTTCACTTCATAGTTTTCACGCAGTGGCACCGCCCCCCTCCACCCCCACACAGAGCATCATGCGGTAAAGAATGTGCGCTTGCGGAGCCTCTATCTACTTCTGAGTCAGCGTGGACCGAGGTCGCAGTTCAAATTCTGTTTCTTTTCTGTGGTCTTTTTTTTCTAATTTTGAGCTACTCTGTACCCCATTTGCATTATGGCGGGTTTCCTTGGTTTGCAGCATACGCACACCAGTAAGCTGGGTCGATGGCTCTTATTGGAGGAAGGAATAGCTTCCTATGGTGATGTGAAGGATCTGTCCTACTTCGCTGTCCCGTGGAATCACACCTGTTCATAATGACTGCCGCAATGTACACGTTTTGTATAATTCAGTATTTATGGCAAGGTATCTTTCTATCAAGTTCACTTTTTTCACAATCACATAGTCACTACTACGTGAATCCTTGTCCATACGGTAACCAGCATTACTGTCTGTTGTTGTCAATACTATTTTATGAAGCAAGACAAGGAGGAACCCTTCAGCAATGGATTCTTCTGTTCAATTGTAATTGTAGGCATATGTTGTAGACATGAAAATCCATGGTGACTTGTCTAGGCCTGCAGTACGTATGTGTGTGCATTAGCCTTTGGCCGTTAACCCCAACCAGAAAAGTTCCCGTTATTGTCTCAGTTTCATCTATAAGTCAATGACTCTTTTGTGTAGATTTTAAGCCATGTCAATGACACTATAGTTTGGCATTCTGAATTTTTACGATAAAAAGTAAGAATGGGCACCTCGATAGATCTTCATTGAAAATCAGAAGCAGGTTTTCTCTTCTCGTCAAGTACATCTTCAACAAAATTTCAGTTGATCTGCAGCGTATTTTCAACGTACATTTTAATTTCTTATAACTGTAAATCAATACTGATTTTATACATGTTTTCTTTCAATTTAGGGGTGCAGGCAAATTTCCTATACCGATCAACAATTTTAAAATCAATATTTTAACTTAACCTCCACGTACATTCAATGCTGTGTTTCAGCATGAGTCAATCACTTGAGCACGGTTTTGCTTTCAAAAGACATTTTTATAATGGCATTGATCAGTCAAATAAGCATGTTATGACTATTGTTTCGGCACTTCCGCATATTCACGTTATTTTACCCTTCTACGTAGGGTGAGTGAGGGAGTACCAAATTTATTCACGTAGGCTATGAAAATAAAATATAGAGTAGATCTTCGACACAACGGCATAGTCGGTCTTGTTTGTGAACGTTGCCTGTACGCCAACTGTGTTGCGGTGAATTCTTAACCAAGTTGGTTGCATGAGCGATGGTTACTTAGCGTGGAACAATTGAAATAAACACGTGCGCAAAAAGCAAAGCGTCGAAAACATTCTACTGAAAAACCTATGCACATGTGAAGACAGCCTACGAAATTTTTTCCTGTAGTACAACATGCTAATACCACAGCCAAGCATTAGAAGCTTGTGGATTTATGGGAACCAAAAATAGCGTAAATCACCACAACAATTTCGCAAGGCTCCTAAGAGGGTAAAAGTAGTTAAGACTTGCAATCGCGTTAAGCCAAATCAAAATAAATGCGACCCATCAAAGACCAATACTTCGGCTTCATGGCCGGGACAGTGGTTGAAATGAATGCAATGGTTGCAGCGAATTGCGTTTGTTGCGGAGTGGTTCGGCGAACAAAACAATGGCGCTGCACAGATAATCACACAGAGTTTATTGTGGCTGTCACTTGCACACCCCACAAGTTCCTGCAGCCAAATGTTATTAGTGGCTTCGTTAGAGTGTAGTAGAATAGGTGGTCTTTTGAAAGTCCAGTGCGAATAAAAAAAAAGGAGCGAGGGCCGTTCACCGTCAACTTGCACGCCACGGCACAGCCGTGCCAGACCCGTGATATTTCTTCGCTGTGCAAGCCTCGTAAAAGAAGCGAGCGTGAGGTACGTACCCGATACTTCGTTTGCTTTTAGCCAACATAGAAGTAATGGGGTCAATATTTATTATTGCGTCACTGCCACATAAATCTGTAGCGACTTATCTAAACTATTACAAGTATGTGCGCTGTGAAACGCAAATTCTATATATTATAAATAAACGTCTTTCTTGGATAACTTGATTGATAGAAATTTTGGTCTGTCTGTCTGTCTGTCTGTCTGTCTGTCACACCATTAAGCCCCCATTGAACGTTAAGGCACTCAATCAATGCCCTGTATTCTACATGTCGTGGCTGTGTTCTTATTTGTGAGCATTGTCGATAAAAAACAAATATTACGCGCATTGGAGGTGCAACATGAATACCTCAGTATGAGGTGGTGTGTTCTTTTATTTGAAAATACATAAATGCGTAAT